CATCAACATCACAAGCGAGCTCTAATAGTAGATATCAGAAATGTTTAACCCGCAGAGATAATTGACTTGCCCTTCACAGCACCGTGCTAGGGCTTGCTGCATGGCAGTGGTGGTGACCAGTGCTGCTCATGATGGAAATACCATTCATTGAAATGTGTCAATTTAGCGCGAGTCCAGTTGCTGCCTCAGTGCGTTATTAATACTGCAGATGATGTGCGTGAACACTGCCTAAGATTATTCTAAGACTGGATGCTGCAGTGGTGTAATGGTTAGCACACACACCACCGAACTTGCAGTCCAGACGTCACGACTGCTATTCCATATTCCCAGCACGATGATAATTGTCTTTTTTTACCCTTTTATCTGGCAACAAAACTGACACCTTTTTTACAAGGAGTCATGTTTGCATTGACCACAATACCTGCGGTCGGAATGCAAACAAAAAACACAACTCTGATAATGTATGCACTGTCCTTGAAGTTGATTGTTCCACACCCAAGACAGCTTTTCTTAAAGCCTAGTCTCACATGGTGTTGGACCAGATGACGCCAAAAGGCAGATAAAAAGGTAAAAAACCAATTATCATATTTTGCTACTGGCAAAGGAGGTTCCAATGGTGGTCCCAGCACAATAGTGGATAGAATGGGGCAAGTTTAATAGAACCTACCCCACCCACTCATCCAGACCGCATCTGTCCACCCAGAAATAGAAATGGGTAGAGCACAGTCAATCTGCATGCAGGTCGTGTGTCGTGGGATAAAGTGTGGGTACTCCCCCCCCAACCCCTTTCCAAGGAGTATGGGCGAGCCGGAAAGAGTTGGCCAGGCCCTCTTGAGGGGCTCGAGGGGGCTCTCCAGAGCTTCCCTCTAGAGCAGTGGTTCATAACCCGGGTTTGAAAGCTGCACCCCCTGGGGGTGCGAGATGGCCTTTCTGGGGGTGCGAGACGTGGCCAGATCTTTTTGAGAAGGTAAGTCATTGAAAAAATAAATTAAGGACGGGCACGTAAGTACAACTACTTTGTTTCATCAAACCTATGTATTTATTAGCATTATAATGTTTTTTTAAGGATTGAGAACAGCCTGCAAGTAAAGATTAAATAGCACCGCTCTAGTTGGAGGCCCTTCCGCCAGCAGTGGCATGAGCGTGACATTTCAGGGCTGCACCTTTATTTACTTATTTTTCATTAAAAAAACATATCACGTGATAAAAAATGGGAGAAAAAAAGTTTCGTTTTTCAAGCAAAATGGAAAGGTGTAAATTGCAAGGAAATAAATCACAATTCATCAAATGGATTGTGAAGAATCCTATCCAAGGCACACAATCCCTGCCACCTGTATCAATGAAAATAATTTTGCTGCTGGATTTTAAGGGGTTTTTTTGGGAGGGGAGATAGCATACAACGTTGTCAAATCCTGCTATCCAAACGATGATTTAAATCTTCTTGTGTACAACCGTCACGCGTGTGTAGCAATTGTGCTGCCCGACAGCGATTCATTTGTATCTTGGCTTCAGATGAAAACACGTGGCCTCTGTGAGTTTCCCCCCTGTCCCAATTTTGGTTATGAGCATGGCGCATAGCATTCTGCACATCGGCAGAATAGCGACCGCGTTTGCGTGCCCCCATGCCGAAACACGCACGTGTAACCTCACTCGCGAGTGGCAGCCATGTCGCAGGGCCCCGTTGAATGCCATGTGGTGCGTTTCAGACGGACGTGCGATTCAATAAGGGACCGAGGCAACACTCACGAGTTATATAGCTAAACGTAGAACGCATGGAATAAGGAGCGAATGGGGGGAGATGTGTAAAAGGTCTAAATTGCAAGGAAACAATCAAAATAAAAAAGGATTTTAACAGAGATAAAGTTCATGGCAATGGGAGAGAGATACAGTATAGTGATATAGAGTGGGAAAATAGTGGCCATGACACATTTTTGGGTAAGTTGTGAGATGACTGAAAGATCTTCTTGGTTCTTTTGGTAAAGTCACGTAGAAGGGAAATAATAAAATAATAATAATACATAATAGAATTGTATTTTATTATGTTTTATTTTTATTATTTTATTATTTCCCTTCTACGTGACTTTACCGAAAGAACCAAGAAGATGAATCCCTGCAGTCACGAAAGCTTTAAATCGAAATGACTGAAAGAGTTTAAACTGTACTCCCAAGAACACCATTCACGACCGTATTTGTCAACACCAAGCCCCAGTGTTCTGTTGATTCATAACCATGTCAGAGTACCGCTAGCCAGAGGTCCTGCCATCCCCAGGTTTGTAACTGGAGATGGAGATTCAGCCACCCTTGGTTAATCCCCCGTCCATAAGCGCAGTGAGGTGCAGTTTCAGTGAAGTCAGCCTTTTGTCACCGACAACTCCACAGGTAACCCCGTAATATTCAATGTAGTTGTTTACTCTAAGTGACGTATTCTAGCTCTGAGAATAAAAATAATCATAATAACATAATATATTTTGATTTAAAGCTTTCGTGACTGCAGGGATTCATATTCTTGGTTCTTTCGGTAAAGTCACGTAGAAGGGAAATAATAAAATTAAATTAATATAAAACAATAAAAATTATCATTATTTCCCTTCTACGTGACTTTACCGAAAGAACCAATAACATCATCATATATGGAGCCCTTTGTTCAATCCACTGCTGAATTAAGGCCATCCCACACTGGGCGTTATTTTACTATACCGGCACAGGAGTGATTCAGATCGGCCTCACCACTCACGTTAGTCATTACAGAAATCAAACTCGGGTTGCCCGGTTACAGCTCAGTGCCCTTTCTACCGATCAACGTCGCAACCGCCAATGTGTTTGAAGAGGGGATTATGAATTCACTTAAAATGTGGTTCTGTGACATCATTTCCTGGGTTCAATCTTTCACGGTGCGTGCGTTGTTACCTGTCGAGTTCCGATTACTCATGTAATTGAATATAATTGGAGATATATATATAGATAAAAAGGATGTTCTTGAACAAATTCAAACAAATTGTTTCAAAAAAATTACATCAATCATAATTCGAGTGGCCAATTACAAAGCATTGGTCAAAAGCAATTGTTGTACATTTGCCAGATTTAATATATTTAAACTGCTGAACTGCAACCCGGACATTGTGCGAGTTATAATAATGATACACTCTCCTTATAGGCTACCGTATGTATACGGCAATTCCATGATCACCACAGTGGGAAGTCAAATCATCTGAGCATTAATAACGCGTCACTTTTTAAGACCTACCACAAGACTGATAGCTCATGTCCCGGCTGCTCCCTTTGGGGGTGTAAACTCTCTCAGCTTGTGGCATGTCACATCTAGCCGTGTTCCATTTTCACAGCTGATGTCATTCCCACAGAGAGAGAAAAAAAAAAAATCTCTTAAACGGTTGACAATTTAGCTCGTCGAGACTTTTACACTTACAATTACTGGATTTACCAGCTGCACACACACATAAGTTGACCGCCGCCACCCATAACTTGTACACGCACGGTCGCCAAAATTGCCCCCCCCCCCCCCCCAATGATAATAGCTCGTATTTTAAATCGTACGATCATGTGTGCGTAAAAGTGAAAGGAGAACCAGGTGCGTGAATTGGGAATACATTCCAACATTCTGGATCAATCGGGTAAAAAAAAACCCGGAATTCGGATTGATTATAAAAAGTGCGCTATCATGGGAAATCACGTCCCTAATTTTACATCCAACTCCACGAATTTTTGTCCATCAAAAGTATTGTCATCACGCGGCGTCGTCGGGTTATGTCGCTTTCGTTAGCACCGAGAGGCATCCAGTTACTACGCGGCGGTCGTGTAAAAACCGTCCGAAAATCCTAAAACGCAAACTTGACATTGTCCTGTTGAGTCCACGGCCAATCGTAGAAAACCGTCTTCACTGTACAGAAACAAAGCAGCCAGGCGGTGCATTGGCTGCTCCAGCCATTACCTTTGATGTACCATGTAAGGCAGACCACAGCAGATGTTCACACGAACAGCGTGTAGAAATTGAGCCAGGTTATACGAGGAGCTTTACGCATGGCATGTACTGTAAGTGGCACGTGTTGTCTGTGTAGGTATGTATGTTGAACTTATTTCACGCCGTACATAGGCAACCATGCTAATCGCAGGCGCGGGGGAAGGACAACAAACTAAACACAGTTCTAAAGAAATTCGTTTTCAATCTAGATTTTAATCTGCATAGCTCCAGTAGCTTCCCAATATCAGAAGAGTGATCCAGACAGCCGCAGAAGCGCATCTGATCACGTGCCATGCGGTGGCCGTCTTTGTTCAATGGCTAACCAAAAGCCACTGCAAGGATGACTGGAGTTTTACGTGATGGTTTATGCTCCTTGACGAGATTGTGGTTCATTTGCGGCAAGCACTTTGTGTGTAATGAGCGCGACCTCGTAATGTATCGTTGGGCAACCGGAAGCCAATGCAGCCCAGCGAGATCCGACACGGTGTCGCCCATACGCCTAACGGTGCGTTGCAGCCCTGTGGGTCACTTAAGAGCGCAGCACAAAATTGGTTTACTCTGCAGGCATCTAATGTCGTCTTATTGAGAAGCGTCATTGCAACATGATGTTGGCACGAGTTCACATCCTGCCTTTTTCTCCTGTTGGGAGGTTGTTTTTTTGTTGTTGTTCACTTAGCTACTCCTTCCTGCCGAAACGTGCCGCACATAAATGTCAGGAGGGACGAGCGCATCGGTTGTCAGTCAGCGCGATGTCTCATTGCGTGCCACGAGTTGGGCACATTCACCGCATCACCCGCAGGTCGACGACACGGACTGTGCCGCAGTCAGTCGCGTGTTGTCATGTGATCTGATAATGGTGTTTTAAGGCATCGCATTTTAAAGAGTCTTGACGGATTTGCCTTCGCACAAAGGAAGTGCAGCTATAGTGGGAAAAAAATGACACAAAAGCGGTTGGCATTATTAAGTATCCTCAGCTGTTCATTCGAAGCCATTCCTGCAGTTAAAGAACGACCTGAGCACTTACCATCGTGCGAGCCATCTCCGTTGTGGGAGCCCTGCTCTGGACAGGCTGACACGGATGTCCACAGCACCTGGAATTAGAAGAACATGTGCACATCATCATCATCATTGAGAAGCCATGTGGGTCTGTGGATATGCCAGCGATGCTTGAGAAATCAACTCTCTCCACTTCCCAGTCATTTGCAACATGCGCAACGCAATAGTCTGCCACCGGCCGGGGCTCTCTGTTCCGCAACCGGTTTTTTTCCCCTCCACATTTACGAACGTGTGTTTAGCATATTTGGCTGCGATACATTTCCACTTCGTTGAGCTATCATTCGTGATGCCAAAGTCGCTTCTGAAAAAGAGCTACTGTACATCGCTCAGCTGGGACCTTACCTTGTAAAAAAGAAAAAAAAGTTTACAGTTTATCTAGCTGCTCCATGGTCAACCTCTCTCACTCATCCCTACGACTGGGCCTTGCAGGGCGGGATTGGAAAGTGCATCTGGTCTTAGAGCAACATTGCCCAAGCCATTGTAGCTTCCTCCTCTTTTGTACTGGCCAGTCATGGTGATTTATTTTGATTTATTTTATACCTACGTGACTTTGCCGAATGAACCAAAGAGTATGGGCAGTCATAGTTTGTGTACATTCCCCCCCCCCCCCCCATTTTTTAAGTCACTCCCGCCCCCTCAAATTGACAATTGATTGTGACTTGTGTTTTCCCAGGGCTTCTTAGAATACAAACGTCTTACACGATGACTGATCAACACAGGCTGGCTACCGTTTGTATCAGAAGCTTGTGCCCAGACGTTAAAACATTCTTATTGAACGAGCATCCTGGCATATGTGGGCAAACGTCCAATTTAGCATTCACACACTTTCAGGTGAGGCCAGACAGTGGCTCTGATAAACGTGACAAAATTGTTCAATAACTCATAACAATCTCCTCGGCTTGAGTTACTCGTAGAGTCGGCACCATAGCGTATTCTATTGATGAATCTTCTCTTCCTGGAGTGTAGGAAATCAATAACTAAATAAATCTGAAAATTATAAAGAAATAGCCAAAGCAAATCAATAAAAGGCCCCAGACAAATATGGTGATGTATGTGTCTCTGTGTGAGTCTATTGGTCTCTATGCGAGTCTATGTATGTATGCTGAACTTCTTTCGCACCGTGCATAGCCAACCGCGATCATTATCAGAGGTGTGGGGGAAGGACAACACACTAAACACAAACAGCAGTTCTAAAGAAATTAGTTTTTTATCGAGATTTAAATATTCAGAACTCCAGTGGCTTCCTAATATCGGAAGAAGAGTGTCCGTCACAATCCCAGGTTGCTCATAATTTTGAAAAAATAAGTAAGTTAAAATGTGATTGTTTTAATGCAAAAAAAAATATAATCCATATTTGCGTGTTTTTCTTTAAATAAACACATGTGTTTACATTAATGTTTGGGTTGAGATAATATAGTCAAGACAATTAACATTTTTTTCATGTTTATCCCATCCACAATCTTCGTGGCTTGTTCTGCCGACGTGATGCATTCTCGATTATTCATTGGGGATATGAATCATTGGGGATATGAATCATAAGATAGGTTGTGTAAAGCGATGGTTGTACATTCGAAGATGACTAATTCGTACTCTTTGGTTCTTTCGGTAAAGTCACGTAGGTATAAAATAAAATACTTTTTTTTTATATAAAAAAATAAATATGAAATTTTTTTGTTTTTAAATCACGACGTTTTGGAAGCAACACAAGCTTCCGTCATTAACACACGCGCTGGTACGACCCAAGGCTACCGAAGCCTTGGGTCGTACCAGCGTGTGTTAGTCGCACAGTCAACTCGTTGGAAATGTTGAACTTTGACTCCTCTCTCACCATCACCCCGCACCCCCCCACGTCCCCCTGCTTCTCCTCCCTGGCTCCTACCCCCCCTTCCTTGCCGTATATAATATATCTTGTTACGAACGGCTCTTGTCCACTACAGTAATTGTATTTCTTGCTGTGGGTTTCCCACCTGATGACGGAAGCTTGTGTTGCTTCCGAAACGTCGTGATTTTAAAAATGTTTTTTAATTTTTTTTATAAAAAAAAGTGTTTTCTTTTATTTTATACCTACGTGACTTTACCGAAAGAACCAAAGAGTATGGAATATTGCAGTCACGAAAACTTAAGAACCACGACTAATTCACTCCCGACAATTATAATCATTTACGTTGTTAATTACCGGCCTTTTGTCATGCATTAATTTAACGTCCGAGTACATACCTATTCTATTTGCAGCGTTATATTAAACACAAATATTTTGGAAGGATTGTTTTCATTCAGCCTCCACGTGTACGCATGCTGTCTGCACACGTTAGTGTTATAAACATTATCACATTACATTGCAATCAGCAAATTTGCAACAAATTATATGCACGCCTTCTATTGTCGATAAATGCCTTATCTTTAATGATTTTCTCTCTCAATTATGAAGTAATGTGCAGCTTGTAATAGCCTGTATCATAATTACAGAAAGGGCCATTGCTTATGAACATCAGATAGTTCACCAACAATGGTTCAAGCAAGCTTGGCTGCGGGTGAGACACCGGGTGTCAAAACCGGTCCAGAGACTTGCCCATGTTGAACCAATATTGGCGATGAAGATCCACTCCCAGAAAGCCGTTTCTCCCGATGGCTTGTGCAAACAAAATATATTTTCTTAGTGTGGAGGGACAAACACGAGAAGGAGGCATCATTTATTTTGCATTATGGATATATCGGTATAAAAATACGGATTGCAAATTAAGAGTAACCTGGTATGGGTTCATTAAAAACATTGTGGACTAATTATCGAATTTATCCTGTGCCTTGAATTGTTTATTATGTGGGAATAGGTTTTCCCCTTTTTTGCGGCAACAAACCAGTTGTGTTAAGATGTTAAAACACCAAACTAAAACATTTAACAAGGAATCACGTCTGCATTAACCACAATACTTGTGGTCAGAATGCAAACAAAAACATCCTCTGGTCTAACACCGTTTGAGACTCGCCTCGAAAGAAAGCTGTCTCTGGTGTGGACCAATCAGTTTCAAAGACAATGCATATATTATCAGAGTATGTTTTTTGTTTGCATTCTGACCACAAGCATTGTGGTTAATGCAGACATGATTCATTGTAAAAGGTTTCAGTTTGGTGTTTTAACATCTTAACACCTGTTTTGTTGCCAGAAAAAAGGGGAAAACCTATTCTCGTATTTTGGTACTGGCAAAGGAGGTCCCATGATGTTTATTACGTGTTTATATGTGTTTGTGGCAAGGTCTTTTCTCCAGGAGAGTCGGGCTCTGCTAAGCGTAGAATTTGTCTGTGCCAGCCAAGTGTTTGATCGCGTGCCACATTCCATTAAAATGACCTCATGGCCTCAGCACAGCATTCTTCTGTTATTTATTTTACTTTTCCCTCCATTAAGGCTTCGGTAACCTCTTTCTCTGCATGTAGCAAGTTTTTGTTGTTGCAAAGGATCCACTGTTGTTTTTATAAAAAAAACTTTATTTGGAACAGGTTGCCTATTTCAGTCAAGACGATTCTACAGAGATGTTTACATCTCCCCTGAAGGGATAAAGTTGGCAGGGCACATCTGTGGCATCCCGTGGGTGCACAAGATGTCCACATACAGTACTGCCTCAACAAGGTGAACGTAAAGGAGTGTTCAGTTGATAAGACACACTCCCAGAAACCTGCTTTAGCCGATGGGTTGTGATGAGCACGACGCTTCGCGACCATCTCCGGCGACCCGAGTTCGATTCCCGCTCACGGCCACCACCACCAACACCACCGCCAAGTGACGATTATCTACGCCGGTCCTGGGCCTCCCCTAGGTCGACTCGGCCTTAAATGAGCACCTGGTGCGGGAGTGTAAACATCGCGACGATGGAGACAAAGGCGGCCGGGCGTAGTGTTGGCCACCCACCCCCTCGTGTGCCGTGCCGGCACTTGCCCTCAACAGTCCGTTAAGGCTACACGGGGGACCTTTGTCTTGTTACGTATTGAGTTTAAAGCAATTGCAGTGGATCATCGCCTGAAGACGGTCGCTTGTGTTGCGACCGAAACGTCGTGTTCTTTTATTTATTTTTCTATCTACGAGACTTTACCGAAAGAACCAGAGACTATGCAATTGCAGTTGTTCGCTTCAATAGTTAATTATTCTATCACAGTATATCCATTTTTCAGGGAGAAACAATCACGGAAACTTTAATTTCCCCCCGCCAAAGTAAAATGTTAACTTTAAAGCAATTTGAATCTTCAGTGTGAATTTTTTTTAAAAACTGCATTCTAACTTAAATGTAACGTAGATGATTTGAAATAAATACCGCGACGTTCTATGGCATAGTTACATTTAACACAACTTGACGAAGCGACCCTCCCTCCTTAACACAAGTAGACATTTCTACGTCTTTATTTGAACCTTAGCAACGTTGACCTGTTGACCGCACTGTGCGTTACGAAGCGCAAAGTACGCAAGGCAAAGACGTCAAAGTGTTCCACATGGCTGATCTAGTCAACATCTGGGAGGCTAAAGCAGGGTTGTTTTTTTAAAGCCCGGAATCGTGCTCAAATTGGGCCACCACCATGCACAAGAGGTGCTATAGGCTGCGGGGGCTTACGCAGTGGGCAGTGGATGCGTGGGTTCAACGAAAATCCCATTACATTTCGATTTAAAGCTTTCGTGACTGCAGGGATTCATATTCTTGGTTCTATCGGTAAAGTCACGTAGAAGGGAAATAATAAAATAATAAAAATAAAACAATAAAATACAATTCTCACGACGTTTCGGCCACAACGCAAGCAGCCGTCCTCAGGTGAAGAACAAGTCTGTCGGAAAGACAGTCTGGGTCAAATCAAGTCAGACGCTGTCTTTCCGACAGACCTGTTCTTCACCTGAGGACGGCTGCTTGCGTTGTGGCCGAAACGTCGTGAGAATTGTATTTTATGTTTTATTTTTATTATTTTATTATTTCCCTTCTACGTGACTTTACCGAAAGAACCAAGAAGAGGAAAATCCCATTGCTTCCTCACTCGAGCCTTACGTAGTGGCTACCCGCATGCGCCAACCCAATCTGATGCAGTGCGGTCAAGCAATCATTGCCGAGACCTCACGGAATTGAGACCTACACAGGTCGTGTTTTGTGTTGTACGAATAACAATAACATTTAATGCGGTTTCTATGTTTTTCTCTCCGTTTGCAAACACCTTTCTGAGCTTTTGAACCGTCGAGTTTCCCCTTGCAAAAGAACTATGATCTTGAATGGGGTATCATCTGGTTAAACTGAAGCCTCTATGTATATGTACGCTGAACTTCTTTCGCACCGTACGTAGCCAACCGTGCTAATCGCAGGTGCAGGAAAGAGTGATAGAACGGGACTGATTATTAAAAAACTGACGTAGCTTTACTCTTTTTGGTTCTTTCGGTAAAGTCACGTAGAAAGAAAATGAATCAAATAATAATCGAATACGACGTTTCAATTGCAACACAAGCAACCATCATCAGGTACGAATTAATGAGAAAACAAACATAACAAACTTAGAAATATAATGCAATACATCCTAGAGAGTCGGCTAACTCAACAGTCAACATCCTACCTGGTTGATTAACGTTCTTCCACGTAGATATTTTTTTATACCTACGTGACTTTACCGAAAGAACCAAAGAGTATGGATCCCTGCAGTCACGAAAACTTCAAATCTAGATTGTACAGCACATATGCATTGTATGTTCATAATAGTGTGGAGAAATATCTTTCAACTTAAACCAAAAAATACGAATTTTGTATGTTCACCATCCATAATAACATTAATTACTGTATAAGCAAAGTCCGTTCTGTGTATGCACATATACATACAAATGTCCATCAGCCTATTGTCTTTAGAGACCAATTTTATGAGGTAGCACTCTGGACAAGCTTAGACCTTCTTGGTCTTATCAGCAGTCAGGCTTGTAACACAAATGCTGCTGGATTATGAGATATTATCGGCAAGAACATTCCGTGTAAAATATGGGAACCCTGTTCAATGCAAAAGCAATAGCATAAGGAAACTCATGATTTGCTGTGGAGCATTCATCATTATTCTCGTCCATGGTCAATTAACTGCTGGATGAAGGCCACTTGAAGCCGCTACCACCATCCACCATCCTGCTGCAATAGTATTAATTACACTGGTCAACACACTTTTTCTGGCATAAGGTATTCCAACGGTTTTAAGGTAATTTTGGGGTGCTGATTCCAAATCTGTCATCAGCTTTTGTCTATCAATCAGGTTTTTGAGATATCAAATATTGCATTTTCAATCAAAACTGCAGAAGAAAAATATTAAATAAATGTGGATATCTACATAAAATTATATTATAAACACACTATCCTAGAAATACAGCACCATATTTTAACACTAAAGCAGTCACTGACTCGCAACATCTTGCAATCATAAGTGGCAGAGTTAATTTCGGGTAAAATCAATGAAAATGGGGTATGCCGATAGCATAAAAAGAGATGTGATAGAGCAAATCTGAGATCAGATTTGGAATCAGCACCCTGAAATTAGTCTAAAACAGCTGCAAAAGTCCAGGCCAGAAAAAAATGTTTTTTTTTGTTGACCAGTGTAATTAACCTGGCACTTGCGCATGAACTGATTCTATCGGTGGCGCATTGAGCATTATATAAAAAACTAAACGAAAAACGACTTTTATTATTTTAGCAGGTAAGACCCACTGAGCTATGGAGCTCTCTTCCAGAAGTAACAAATGATAGCTCAACAAAGTGGATTATCACGTTGAAATGTATAGCAGCCAAATACTGTAAACGCATGTTCATTCCAAATGTGGAGGGTAAAACCCAAGGACGCGGAGAAAAATCAATACAAACGACAAACATACAGCAAGCATCAGGGTCGGGATCGAACCTACGATATCCCGTATACCAGGCGAGTCTGCGTCCTTATATGTTGGTTATCATGACGGCTTTTTGCAGGGCCTCTCTTTGAATGTGTCTGAAAGGAGCTCCTGGGTGTCATGATCGTAGGCGCTGGAAGTGAGGAGTTCTGCTTAGCTGATCACTCAACCCGCTCCCAAATGCCACCCCAAGCAGTAAGGTTTGTGGTCGTTGCAATGCAAATTAACAGTGTAATGCCAACATCTGTGAATGATTAAACAAGTCAATGGATAACCAGCGACTGTACGTCTAAATATTGTTGTAATTATAATATAAAAAAAATAACTTTGCAGTCTATGTTTTAAAAATCATCTTTAAGAAGTTATCTTGGCACACGTGTCAAGTAACATTGTGGATTTTCCACTTTTGATGTTTAAACAAGGCACGAAGCGGGTTGAGCCTTCACGACACTGTTATCTACATTTGAAAAAGCATGGGTTAGTAACACACCCTTGTTCTACAAGAAGGCACAAAAATGTCCTCTAGTAGAACAAGGCTGCATTGTAAGAAACACGTTTTTATATTAAACATTCTTTCGTGATACTGCATCGGCAATGGTGCATAATAACACTCAGCAAAATATCAGAAGTGTCATTGCACTAAAAACTGTTTGTTACTATGTATTTAGGTCAGTGCTTGAGTAAGTGTTATTTGTAGATTGCATGCCAATTCAGTTTATTGTTTTGGTGCAACAATATTCTTCATAAGGAAGGAGCATCTGTGAAGTGCTCTATGTAATAGTTTCGGTGTTCAGATATTAATCTATGAAGTTATTTATATAATAGTTTCGGCAAACAGATATTCATCTGCTGGCATTGAACTCTGGCCAAATGTTTACTTTGTGCATTGCATGATCAATTACTTTAAATGTTCTACATTACTTGGATTGTGGGTTTTTGAAATCTCTAAATCACTGCCGATATTAAATGAACACAGTGGCTTGATTTAAACACTGCCCTTGTGTACACTAACAAATTACTCATTGGCATTACGTTCAAATACTTTTAATTTGAATGACGTTTTGTATGTGCAGTAGATTTTTCTGTTTTTATGACGGTACATTATTGTCAAAACATCGCGGCATATTTCTACATCACAGCTCTTGATGATCACCTTTGACCCAGATAAAAGAAGATACAGTACTGTTTGGCAAGGAATCATACAATTCATTTTCTTATTCTATACGTAGCATTCGTATTACTATATACATACGCGTTCTATGTAAATCTTTGCAAATAATTCTCACGCAAAAAAAACACAACACTAAATTACCTGCAAAATAAAAAAAATGCATTCCAACTCAACTCAGATGGCAGCAACGTCTAAACAAGCTGCGCCTAAAATGGCCACGTAACAAAAAAATAAGAGATCCACAAACATTCAGGCCAGTATTGAGGTTTATGCAAACCCACCTGCACAGCAAGCAGACTTAGCATCCACAGCAAGGCGCCTGTGCGTGGGCCCTGCATGTCTCCGCTGGGCTGGCGACGGCTGTTGTCCGGACAAAAGCGGCCGCTGCTTTCAGACCCCGCGACTTCCACAAATAGTCGACGGTGGAGAGAGCGTGCGCGCGTGTTCGCGGGTCACCCCACCACGTGAAGTGAGCGAGGGACGCTCCCTGGCATTGCTTATAGGGCCCCGTGCCCCTCTGTGACATCACCTACCCAGCCCTGCACTGAAACCCACGCCCTGTAGTAAAAAAAAACCTGCGTCCTCCCCCAACCTACACCACCACCACCGCCGCACCCATCCACCACCCACCCCCTTGTCAGAGATAATAACCCCAACTGCTGTCCCCCCACCAAATAAAAATCCATTCCACCCTTACGCGCAAGCCCGTCTTCACGCCGCCCGTGACAAACTTCTATGAGGACACACACACTGCACATCATTGACAAACAGCAATGAAGGCCGTTCGTTGTGGGCCATCATCATCATCGGCCATGGTCCTATCGGTAGCTGGATGACGGCCTTCCTCCCCAAGCCGTAACAATCCCACCCGTCTCCTGCACACACGGCCTATGCAGAATCGGAAAATGTATTTGTGCAGGAGGAATCCGATGAGCAATGAAGCTCTTTTTTCACACGTCCAATCGACATTTCCCCCCCCCCCCTCCATCGCCGTGGCCGGCGTGGGTTCTCGTCCACCGAGCGTCATCTGATTCGGGTGACATGCCCCTGCTCAAACCACACTTGCTCTTCCAAAACAGCTCAATGCCGTCCCGCAGTGTAAATCCACGTGTGCGCCTTCACGCTCTTAATTTGCGCACTTTTCAGCTTTTGTTCCATCAAATGTTTCAATGACCGTGTTTTTCTGTTCCGCTCACACACCCCACATTATCGCTGTCACGTCGCACTCTGTACCCACACCACCACGCCCAGCAAGCTGCCTCTGATGTTGCTTTCTTGATTGAGAAGCCCCCAGTTTTAATTCCTTGCACCAGGAGCGCGCATGCCAACCATTCTACTGCGTCCACTGGACATCGGCTCCAGTGGCCTTGATGGGACCGAGGGACGTTGATGTGGAAAGTGACACTTGCCATGAATATCCTATGGCCACGCATTAGACCTGGCATTATACTGGGAGGAACCTCCTGGTTACACCAGCCCACAGGGGATTATTGTGTCCGTCCGTCCGTCGTGCAGGGAGGGGCTGGTGTGGGAGGGAGGGCCTGGGTGGGGGGGGGCTGGGTGAGGAGGGGAGGGTGGGGAGGGGCTGGGTGTGGAGGGTGGGGCTGGGTGGGGGTGGGAGGGGTGGGGCTGGGTGGGGAGGGGCTGGGTGGGGAGGGTGGGGGGTGGGGCTGGGTGGGGCTGGGTGGGAAGGGGTTGTTCACCCCGTGGTGCCCTTATAAAACTCAACGTTTAACCTACTCACGCCGGCTTGTGCCCGCCCTCACAGTCGGGCATATTTGCGGAATACACCACGCCGCCGTTGACCCTGGCCATTGACCGAGCAACCCAACGTTCCTACCAGCTCCCTCCGCAGGAATGTGTTAGAAGCCTGCCCCATTTGTGCGTTAACAACTCTTACTCCACCGCTTCCACCGTCCCCGACCCCGCACGAAACTCAACTTCGACGTGGGAGAAAACCGCAGAGCCCTCTTCGGGTCTACCGTCTTCACATGGCCACACCACATATCACACGCACACACGCACGAGCACTCCTTGAACTCCATCCCATACCAAAAATATGCAGCGAACAGCAATATTCTATAAATACTATCGATGCTCCTCTCCCACTGTCCTCAGACACCGAGTTATGCACGACACGCCGATCAAACAGACATGTGTTGGTGCATGTCGTGGGACTGTTGTTGATATTTTTGCAAATGGCATTAACTGTATTGATGCGAGGCGGGAGCGGTGGCGCTTTGGTTGGCACACTGTGCTACGAACCGTGCGCAACTGAGTTTGATGCTGGGCTACAGCTCACATCAGTGGCGAGCGGTGAAAAGTTGTATCTCTGCGTAGCCAGATGGAACCAGATGTGGTGTGTGTGGCAATGCACAACACAGACAAGGACAAAGATCCCCCTGTCGAGCCTTCACAGACTGTTGGGGACAAGTGCTGTCAGCGAGCATCTATGGGGCCGTCCATAAATGACGTCATGCGATTTTGGACGATTTTTGACCCCCCCCCCACCTCGTCACACGGCGTCACAAAAAGTCAGACCCCCCCCCCCTCAAGTATGACGTCACAAAGCTCTGCCCCCCCCCCCAAAACCATATTTCCATTTTAAAAATAAAACATGCTTCAAATCGCTTTAAACTATTGTCATTGTAGTGCGTATTTAATGTGGCGCTGCACTCTGATGTTGTAGGAGTGTTGTTATAACAATTAGCGTTGTTATAACAATTCCATATTTATTTAAATTTGCTCATTTGATGTGACGTCACATTTCTCACCCCCCCCCCTCTTCACACATCGTCACAAATGTCTGACCCCCCTCCCCTCTCTAGGTTCGTGACGTCATTTATGGACGGCCCCTATGAAGGCCGGCACGGAGATATTTACACACCACACCAGGTGCTCATTCGAGGCCGAGTCGACCTAGGGGAGGTCCGGGACCGGTTCAGATAATTTTCACTGTGGTGTTGATGGCCGTGAGCGGGAGTCGAACTCGGGTGGTCCCTGGGTTCGTATCGCAGCGCGCTAACCGCTACTACACCACCGCTCCCCAACACGCCCAACAAAGATCCCCCGTGTAGCCTAACAGACTGCAGGGGCAAGTGCTGTTAGCGAGCACCTATGAAGGCCGGAACGGTACACGAGGGGGTGGGTGGCCAGCACCACGCTCTACCACCTTTGTCTCCCTAGTGGCGATGTATACCGACCGCACCAGGTATTAATTTTAGGCTGAGTCAACCTAGGGGAGGCCTAGGACCGGTTCAGATAATCGTCACTGGTGTAATGCCGTTTGCGGGAATCGACACACACAGACGTACAGACACGAACACACACAAATGCGACATTCCTGACCACGGCTTGTCGTAACGCAGCACCAAGCCACGGCACCCTTGCTTCCATCTCTCCCTTCCCCCTCCCCCAGTGCTTCGTGTTCATGAGCTGCAGCAGGCTGACTCATCTCAAGGCTGAGGATACCAGACACAACAATAGCAACAGCAACACCACACACATTCACATTGAGAAGAGCACCTTGACAACTTTTAACTGCAGTGGCCAGGACACCCAATTAGCCGCCTGGTCAAAAAAAAAAACCCCACACAATCCCAATGCTTCACTCACATTTTTACAATTAAAATAATAGAATCACACCGACGCAAAGACAAAGATCCCCAGGTATAGCCTGAACAGGCTGTTGGGGCAAGTGCTGTTCGCGAGCCCCTATGAAGGCCGGGATGACACACGAGGTGGTGGGTGGCCAGCACCACGCCCGGCCGCCTTTGTCTCCCTCGTGGCGGTCTTTACACACCGCACCAGATACTCATTTGAGGCCGAGTCGACCTAGGGGAGGTCCAGGGCCGGTTTTTAGAAAATCGTTACCGGTGTTGGTGGCCGTGAGCGGGAATCGAACTCGGATGGCCGGGTTCGTCGCACAGCGCGCTAACCGCTAACCCACCGCTCCCCATTATCCGATTATCACGGTTGGCTACGTACGGTGCGAAAGAAGTTCAACATTACGCCCAGCCGCTTTTGTTTCGGTAGACCTAGGGGAGGCCCAGGACACCACCAAAGACAAAGATCTCCCGTGTAGCCTAAACAGACTGTTGGGGCAAGTGCTGTTAGCGAGTGGCACCGATGAAGGCCGGCACTGTGGCACACGAGGGGGTGGGTGGCCAACACCACGCCCGGCCGCCTTTGTTTCCCCAGTGGCGACGTTTGATACACTGCACCAAGGTGTACTCATTTGAGGCTGAGTCGACCTAGGGGCGGCCCAGGACTGGTTCAGATAATCTGCAAGCAGCTGTCTCACACATGCAGACACAAAGACAACTATTCCCCGTATAGCCTTAACGGACTGTTGGGGCAAGTGCTGTTAGGGAGTGGCACCGATGAAGGCCGTCACTGTGGCACACGCGTGGGTGGGTGGCCAGCAACCGGCCGCCTTTGTCTCCGCGGTGGCGAGACAGAGAGGGCACACACACACAGACACACGTACACACATGCCGGCACATTCACCCCTATTGTACATTCGCACTCGATGTGCTCCGACAAAAAAAAAACACAATCTTGGCAGCCGCTTACAAAATGGCCTTAAATGCGGGTCGCTTTTAAATCTCTCAGAAAGAGAGAAAGACGGACGGAGGTTCAAATTCACCCCTCGCCGTTGACACGCCACACGTTGTCGTGATTCACATTCATAGAGGGCCCACGTAAACCCACGATGTACAAACATGCATATCTAAAACTAAAACATGTCGATTCATGTATTCGTAAGCTTTCGGATCAAATCGACGAACTATCGATGGATCAAAGCATCGCTGGCACCTGTGTGCACCTGATAACAGCGTTGCACAAACTCCCTCCTGTTTAGCATTCTCTGTCCTGGTTTTTAGTACGAGAGTGTGTTTCATTGGTGATGTATCATGGGACCTCCGTTGCCAGTATCTTTTTTCTGGCAACAAAACAGGTGTGTTAAGATGTTAAAACACAAAACTGAAACATTTTACAAGGAATCATGTCTGCATTAACCACAAGACAAAAAAACACACTCTGATAATATATGCATTGTCTTTGAAACTGATTGGTCCACACCAGAGACAGCTTTCTTTTGTGCCTCGTCTCAAAACGGTACTTCAGAGTGCCTCCACGTAGTTTGTTCCAGAATGATGGTGCCACGAATGAATGAGTGTGCATACGTTATAACATGATAATCGAAAACGAAAAATGTAGCATGTTTTATAACTGAACATGTTCAATACCTGTCGATTTAATGTGCCCCCGATTATGAAATGTATACATTATTTTCTATTGTCCATCATATCCGATAAGCACGGTTGGTTACATACAGTGCGAAAGAAGTTCAGCATACATATGCTGTATCAGTTATTTAAATAATGTAGTGTAAACAACGTCATATTTGTTCATCTTCAAAATGATATACTGTAGTATGATGTCGATAGT